GTTCCATTCATTCTCATAATTATCTTAAAGAGTCTTCAAACTTTTTGAGCGATTCATTCTTTTGTATTGTTATAACTACTGAGAATTTAATCTCAAATTTGAAATGAGAATAATTTGTCGTGAAGTGAATAACTTCGTTGAAAAATTAAGGTTGAATTCCCATTGAGCATAAACAGTGAGAGTGCTTCTTATGATATCCAGTATGGTCATGTTAATAGACCAACACACCGGAATACATCGTGGGATGCAGCAAAGTTTATCTTTTTTTTAATTTTTACGTTTTCTGAGGTTTTAGGTAGTTTAGTTTGATATTGAACTGATTCATCGTTCCATAACTTGTTTTGTGCTGATGAAGCGATACTCAAAAATCAGTTGATTGATTCAGACAGCTGTTGTCGATAATCAAAATAATCTTCATCATAATCAAAATCACTCATCTGCACTGAATCAAGAAAGTGGGTATGAAATAATGAATTCAGATATGAGGTTTGTGCACATAAATGGATGTCGCTATGTGAGTACAACAGAGGTGCTGCGTTACTGAATAACTGTAAATATGGTCATTCGTGTGATGGAAATATCATGCGAATCTCTTTATTAAGATCCAGTAAATCACCCGATGAGAACGCTGATATTGGCCGACATCAGGTTTTTATTATTCATAATAGCAAGCAAATGATTATGGCTGAATTGCTAGTAATAACAATTATGAAAATAATAATGATAATAAAAAATTCTTCACACAGTAAATTTGATTGATAGTTTTCCAACTTTCGAATTTTTTTTCTCATGAGTATATTTTCATGAGATATTAGGTGGATGTATAATCTGAATTTCAGTTTTCATATGCATTTTATCCGTTCATTGGATCAATTCAACAACCGAACGGTAATGCAGCGATGAGCGTTATGAGATGTGCATTTGAATTTAACAATCCAGTGCGTTATTTAGAAGGAATTGCGGGAACGATTAGTGAACACATCGATAACGTATTCAAAATAAGTGGATCTGATGGTGAATATTACATTCGGATGGGTTATTTACTGCAGTCAGTATGAGGTGTATGGAGTAATATCATTGTTCAGGTGTAATTATCGATACGATAAAGGCGAGTGAGGATGATGAGAATGCATTAATAATGCGCTTATTTGAATGCTTCGGAGGAAGCGCACGAATCTGGCTTCATTGGAATCACGCTCGAATCGTGTCGATCGACTTGGCTGATGGTCTCGAACAGAGCATATCCAATATCCCCATCGAAAGTACCATTCCAAACGAATCTGAACAGGAAGATGTGCCTTCCGAATCAGTAAAACTCGAATTTCATGCATTTGAACTCAAAACATTATTGATTCGTTTATTCGCCATGTGATAATGCTCGATATTGTTTGTGATAATGTTGTTTCTTACTTGATAATTCTGTTCCGCCATATCATTGACCTTTGCAAAAATCGGTTGAATTTATAAATGAATCGAAAATAAATTTTACGTTTCATTCGATAATGCACTCAAAGCTGACGATACAGAATAGTTGTGAATGAAATGTTGAGTAAAATTCAATTGAAAACAAGCACTGAAAACAAACAACGAGTAGTCGCATTAATTACATATTTCCTTGCAAAGAAAAATATTTGCAGTGCGTTAAAGTCGACAGCCATATAGTGTCCTGATCTGTATGTACAATGGCATTTAGATTATTCGTAGTGATTGTTTTGTAATTAAGAATTGATCGTATCGAATGTTTTAAGACTCAAAACTGAACAAATCTATTGTTCGATGGTTTTGTCACTCAATTACACGTTAGAAATTTATTTCAGTATGACGGCATTCATCCAGTGGAAACTGTTTAGGTTAATGCAG